AAGATCGGCAAAAAGGGCTGAAGGAATATTATACCAGAAACGATATATACGAGGAGTATCCAAACTCACCAGTTCGAGCGGTAAGATCATATAAAAAATTCATCTTCCGCTTTTTGTAACATTCGGTGCATAACATATATATGTTTAATTGTACATACTTGATGAGAAAAGATCTCCAAATATGATGCCTTACATTGACTATAAAAAACTAAGATGAACTTGTATGTCCAGAAAAAAAATTATTGTATAATGCTTGTCAAATGCTTGCTTTCCAATATTTTACATCTAGGAAATCGATGATACTTTATTGAAAGATATTATGGAATGTTTAACCAGGTTCAACATGTATACTGGTTTGTAATGCATTCAACCAAGAAATATCGATGATTTCAAAATTGAAATCTTATGAAAAGGTCTCATATAGATTGTTAAGGATATATCATGAACCTTACCTCTTAAAAAATTGAACATGTGAACAAACGCTTGACACTAGATCTTACACTCATTAGGTTCTACACATCATGGACTTAAACTAGACGATGACATCTGAGACATTACTTCATCAGATAGATGTATAAGGAAGATTAAAACAATCAGTCAGCAAATTATGACCTAAACTAAATTTTCAATCGTTTCTGAATTGTGACGACAGTTTATAATAAATATTTAGGTTGGGCAAGACCCAACAACCAATGTTCAAAGTCAGAAACGTACAAAAGTATGCATGATATGTTCCAAAATGATCGATGAAGTCGACTACTTTGATCACATAAATGCATGTATTGATATATCATCAGCCAAACCAAACAACGCCCAGGAGTGTTATATCTGCTCTAAAGAAATTGCCGAAGTTGATTTTATTACTCATGCTAATGCATGTGCCTCTGAATTATCTTCAAGTTCGAAATCAAAATTAACAACTAGACAAACTCAAAGCTTGTGTTTTACATGGTAAGTGAATTCTTTATCACAAGTTTTCTAACATTTATCTTTGTAGTTCATTGCCAATAGATTCTTCGAAAAGTTCTAGTCATACCATTTCATGTCCATCACGTCATATGTATTGTCTAAAATGTTTTCAGCGTTCAATGAATGAATACATTAAATCTAATACTCCTCCTGTTTGTCATTCAACTCTCTGTAATTATCAGTTGTCTCGATATGATGTTGCATGTTTACCACTTGAATCAGATACTATCAAACATTTACTAACTTGTGTCAAAAGTGCGCAACGTCCTCAATGTCCTTTATGTCTCTTCTATGTTGACTTTAATTCTATGAGCGACTTAGAAAATCATGCAGCTTTGTGTAACTCAGAGAATTTAATTGCTTGTGAATATTGTCATTGTCTATACAATATGTATCGAATGGATGACCATTTACAGCAATGTCGCAATCTTTCTCATTATCAACAACAACAAGCATTAATAGATTTCATTGTACCACGAACTAAATATCCCATGACATCCCAAGAAATTCGTGTTTTTATCGAACATAGAAGGAAGAGCCATTTGCCACTTGATCCACATTCAATCATTGATGCACTAGCTGTACTTGGTAAGTTTTAAAATATCTTTTTATTTTATCACTGGTTATGTGTTGGTCTATTAGATGGCACCTTCCCATTTGAGATTGCTACTCGTGACTGCGACGTATGTGCAGAAACATGTGTATACGAGGATATTTTTGTTTTTGGTTGCACGGAAAGTCACAANGAGTTCGAATAATCCTCATATATATCGTTTCTGGTATAATATTCATTCATACATGTTTGAAAATGTTGCCTCAAATTTTGAACTCGTTTTCCACATAAAGCACATATTTCCAGTGCTATTTGATCTTCATCATTGTCGTCTTGTAGTCCACATATAGCAATATGAGCAAGATATTGATCTTCATCGATAGACACGTTACAAACTTCCCACATCCTATGAATCAAAATTTTACTAATTAAATATACTTCTATATATATTTTTTTTAAATAAATATTGTCCAAGTTCTAATGGAATATGAACAATAAAATGCCCAGTAAAAAATAGTCTTTCGTAATTTCGTAAGAATTTCGGCAATTGTAGAAATTCGACAACGTTGTCCAAATTGTAGTAGAATTTTGAAACATGTCAAAATTCTACTACGATTTGGACATTGTCGAAATTCAGATGGCGAAATTCTTTTTGTCGAAATTCCATTTTACCCTAGATGCGTCCTTATTTGGGAATCAGATATATATGAAATTGTTCTGTTTTTACCAAGAAGAATTTATGAGTCATTTTCGAAAACACGAAGCAGAAGCCACCAAAATAACATCTCTTTTTCTTCTGTTTCTTTCTCTTAGTAGGAAGAAATTATGCTTAAACGCAAACATGTGGTGTTTTTTCCTTTTAAAAAGTGCTTTACAGAACAATCAGATACTATTGCGTCGCGTAGACTTGCTGTGAGTTTTCCTCCCTTTTCAACTTCAACGATACTTCGATAGAGCTGTTTCATTTGCTGCGGAATGAGAAAATGACGACAAGAATAGCACGGTAATATCATTATTATTGGAAATGAGATGTATATTTTCTTCTGAGTGTTATTCTATTGAAAGGTGTTAAAATATGATTAAAGATTCTTAGAAAAAAACTAGAAATTGTTGTGATTTATAATATAAAGATATTTCATTTATTAACTTCTAGTTTGTTTAAGGAATCAAAGGCAAATGTGTGAAGTTTGTAACGTGTCTATCGATGAAGATCAATATCTTGCTCATATTGCTATATGTGGACTACAAGACGACAATGATGAAGATCAAATAGCACTGGAAATATGTGCTTTATGTGGAAAACGAGTTCAAAATTTGAGGCAACATTTTCAAACATGTATGAATGAATATTATACCAGAAACGATATATATGAGGATTATTCGAACTCACCAGTTCGACCGGTAAGGTCATATAAAAAATTCAACTTCCGCTTTTTGTAGCATTCGGTGTACAACATATATAGGCTTAATTGTACATGAAGAGAAAAGATCTCGAAATATGATGCCTTACATTGACTATAAAGAACTAAGATGAACTTGTATGTCAATAAAAAAAATTATTGTATAATGCTTGTCAAATGCTTGTTTTCCAATATTTTACATCTAGAAAATCGATAATACATTATGGAAAGAAATTATGGAATATTTAACCAGGTTTAACATGTATACTAGTCTGTAATGCATTCAACCAAGAAATATCGATGATTTCAAAAGTGAAATCTTATGAAAAGGTCTCATATAGATTGTTAAGGATATATCATGAACCTTACCTCTTAAAAATTTGAGAATGTGAACAAACTCTTGACACTAGATCTTACACTTATTAGGTTCTACACACCATGGACTTAAACTAGCCCATAATATATGAGATATTACTTCATCAGATAGATGTATAAGAAAAATTAAAAGAATCAGTCAGAAAATTATCACCTAAACTAAAATTTATGTTCCAAATAGCTTCTAAACTAATGATATGAACTAATTTTTCAATCGTTTCTGAATTGTGACGACAGTTTATAATAAATATTTAGGTTGGACAAGATCCAACAACCAATGTTCAAAGTCAGAAACGTACAAAAGTATGCATGATATGTTCCAAGATGATCGATGAAGTCGACTACTTTGATCACATAAATGCATGTATTGATATATCATCAGCCAGACCAAACAACATCCAGGAATGTTATATCTGCTCTAAAGAAATTGCCGAAGTTGATTTTATTACTCATGTTAATGCATATGCCTCTGAATTATCTTCAAGTTCGAAATCAAAATTAACAACTAGACAAACTCAAAACTTGTGTTTTACATGGTAAGTGAATTCTTTATCACAAGTTTTCTAACATGTATCTTTGTAGTTCATTGCCAATAGATTCTTCAAAAATTTCTAGTCATACCATTTCATGTCCATCACGTCATATGTATTGTCTAAAATGTTTTCAACATTCAATGAATGAATACATTAAATCTAATATTCCTCCTGTTTGTCATTCAACTCTCTGTAATTATCAATTGTCTCGATATGATGTTGCATGTTTACCACTTGAATCAGATACTATCAAACATTTACTAACTTGTGTCAAAAGTGCACAACGTCCTCAATGTCCTTTATGTCTCTTCTATGTTGATTTTAATTCTATCAGCGACTTAGAAAATCATGCAGCTTTATGTAACTCAGAAAATTTAATTGCTTGTGAATATTGTCATTGTCTATACAATATGTATCGAATGGATGATCATTTACAACAATGTCGCAATCTTTCTCATTATCAACAACAACAAACATTAATAGATTTCATTGTACCACGAACTAAATATCCCATAACATCCCAAGAGATTCGTGTTTTTATCGAACATAGAAGGAAGAGTCGTTTACCACTTGATCCACATTCAATCGTTGATGCACTAGCTGTACTTGGTATGTTTTAAAATATCTTTTTATTTTATCACTCGGTATGTGTTGGTCTATTAGATGGCACCTTCCCATTTGAGATTGCTACTCGTGACTGCGACGTATGTGCAGAAACATGTGTATACGAGGATATTTTTGTTTTTGGTTGCACGGAAAGTCACAAACTCTGCTATCGATGCTTTGAAGCTTCATGTACAACGAAGATGACCAATAATGAAATACTCACATGCCCATTGTGCAATTATCAATTACAAGACGGAGAAATCAGACAACTGAGAGTATCAGCTGATCGACAGAAACAATTATTAGAGTATCAAATACAAAAAACATTCAGTATTTATACTGGTGCTACTCAAGGGGTAATTAAATGTCCAAACCAACAATGCTACTGGGTAGCTGAGGCAAAGGATCCTACTGACCGCTTTCAGGTTCAATGCCCTCTGTGTGGTTATGAATTTTGCTCACTTTGTAACCAACAATACCATTTTCGAACAACATGTCAAGAAGTTCCAGGAATTACTCAACGTTGGTTCTTTTGGTGTAATACAGGTAAAATTTTCAAATAATGTGAATTTCTTTGTATCAGTTGTTTTTGTTCAAAGAGCGTGGTAACTATTGGCAAGCTCGAGCACAACAAGATGCTAATTTTAGAGCTCAACTAGAAGATTATGAACGACAAAAAGTTACTAATGAACGACGAAACGAAGAGTTGCGTCAACGTTACAATGACTTACTGGCTGATGAGACGTTTAAAGCTCAAAATTGCCGTCTTTGTCCGCATTGTCGACGAGTAGTGCAGCATCTTGGCGGATGTAACTCCATGATATGTGGTCAAAACTATCATGGTGGTGATGCACAATCTGGATGTGGCCGACCCTTCGATTGGTCTAAGGCTGCACCATATGTACCCATTGCCAGCCGACGTCCACAACAAGTTAATACTAAGTTAAAAGCTCCGGGAGAACAAAAACTTGTTGTACATAAGGACGTCCAGTAAGTATAATGCAATGAATATAATATATTGATCGTTATAATATTTTTATTCAGGTGTGATACTTGTCATAATGAAGTTCAAGGAATTCGATTCGACTGTATTCATTGTTCTTCGTTAACATTTTGTGAGAAATGTGAACAACGCTCTACTCTTGAGCATTCGAATCAAAATCGTGACCAACAAAAACAACAGCATGTTTTTAGACTAATACCAGCTCCAATAGAAGAAAAAAGGGGCATACGATCAATTTTATCTTTTTTCTTTAGAAAATAAGAAATATATATATATATAGTCAAGAGATCAGTCTTACCGATCAATTGATCAATAACTTTTTTTTATAATAAAATTCGTCAAAATACGAAAGAATTAATTATACGCCATTTCATATAATGTCTAAGTGTCATATAAAACATTTACGCTAACATTGTTATGATTTTCCAACTGAGATCTTGCATACGCTTCAACTGAACGCTCGCATGGTATTCGCCAATGATCGACTAGCAGAAGTCGGTCGACACCTATTCTGCACGTCAATAGATCAGGACTACACGAACTGCTACGGGGGTGTGGATATGGGTGTGGGTCCCATCTTAACACATTTAAAAGCACATTGACTGAAAACAATACTACTCGTTCTGCATCTAGTGTAGTCGCTGTGAAGAAAGGTAAAAGAATACAGTGTAACGTGTAATTGCACAACATCAAAGTGAACACAAATGAAAATGTACAATTCTGCAGAACTAAATAGAGAAAGCTATAATGTCTCGATTACTTCGCTTTGTAAATCAATGGTAGATTGTTTTTCCGTAAAAAAAACGTCGCAGGTTCAATTCCCGCCGAAGCAACCACCCAAATCGAATATGCAATCTTTCTCTTTTTCAAGGACACAAAAATATCCAACACATTTGAAACAAAAATAATCAAAGAAAATATTTTTTTTTAAATGTATCTTTGATTATCAAAAGAAGACAAAGAATATTTAACAAAAAACTAAGTAATAAAAAGTAATTCAGCAGACGTTTTTCGAAATTGATTTGAATGTGTACTATTCTCTTTGTTATGTTTTTTTAAATATATTTTCCAAACATTTCTTTGAACGACAACAAACAATCTATAGGTATTATCTATATTTTTGTCAATATATATATTTGTTTCAATAGGATATTATCTATCTTTATTGCAGAAGTCAATAGTTAAAAAAGCAAAACTTCCTTTGATTACTGAAACAAATGAAACAGTTTACGAGTAACAAGTAAGAAAATCATATAGAAACAGAAGCAAGGTCAAGAAAAGTTCACGAGTAATTCTTGAATAAAATCTGTTTTGTTTTCTTCTGTTTACAAATGAATTTAAGAAAAAGAGTTGTTAGATACATCAATTTTAGACAATAAAATTTATTTATCTATATCGGCATGAAGTTCACGGTTTCATTAGATAGAATTGAATCCGTGTTTCTATTTTACAAAACAAATAATAGACAGTTATACGATAGAATGTTTTTTGAAAATAGGTGGGATGTGCATGTGGGTATGGACGTGGATTTAGGTGTGAATGAACTATTGCTTAAAGATCAGGATAGCCTCTCTTGCATTCACACCCCAGGAAAATAGCTAACATTACCAGCAAGCTTTGATTCTTTGCCATTGATGCCTAACGAAAGAAAAAAATTCTTTTTTTTTGTAATTTAAATTGAACGTATGAATACTGATTCCAATATATCGACATCCGGACTTTGCAGTAATTGCCACTTACGTGCCGAGAAAATTATCTGACATTTTGATAAGATATATATGAAGACTAACAAAGTAAAAAAAATAATATATATACTGATAATGATTTTCACTTTGTTGGAATAATTTTGGGAACATATTTCAAGTGGCAAAGGGATCGAATAATCCGTCTTCAGCTCGTTTCGTTCAAATTTTCACAAATGCATTTATGAATATGCTACTTGTCCCGTGTTTACTTTCCTATATTCGATCACCATATCATGAAAAGTGTCTAATTTAGAGAAAACAACTGTCTCTATTATCTTGAAGTGAAAATTGCGTTTATAAAGTTATATAGAATCACACTTAGTTTCCTATAGGTTGAAGGTCTATTGTTATGAATAGTAGAAGAACATTAAACTCGTAGAAAAGGTCTTTTTACGAAAATTTATTTTCGATCTTAAGGATAATTATCCATGACAAGCTTTAGGGTAATATTTTTTTTTGCTCTGATACATCCTGGAGAATTTCAAAGACATGACGCTCTATACTCAGCTGTTCCTTATCTTGACCTCCATAGAGCTGAACTAGCACAACCTGGTGGTTATGCTATTTGAGATATACAAATTCAGTCTTATGTTTGAACCTTGGTATGCGTTGTAACATATAAAATGCAAATTCTAAACTCAATTTTAGGTAAAGCTGGATCATGCAACTTAACTTAATATTAAATATTAGTAAAAAAACAAACTTAGCACTTAATTCTCTTGAAATTAGGTGATTAAGCTATGAGAATGAATCGAATATAATTTACTTTCAACTTTTTTCGTTAGGAGAAGGCTATTTCATGAAAATAACGATATTTTATAAAGTTTGATCAGGCGTTCTCTTAGAGTCGAGGAATCTGAAGTTCTAATAGGAAAGCGGAAATTGGTAAAAATGAATGTTAGAAGTTGTTTTTTTTGAAAAAAAATTGTTTAACGCGTAAAAACGTCGGACTTTTAGTCACTTGTTGCCTGGATAATTTATGATAAAGATTACAGTCTGTAAATATAAGCCAAAGTTTTTGAGTAGTGAGCAGTGTTGATGAACTATTTGAGTTAGTAATATATAGAGCTTTGGCATCTGACTTAGTCTGTTAGATGAATAACGAAAAGACTTCCAAGGTATTTTATATTTTTGTATTAGAGAGTCTTTCACTAGGTCTTGGATAATCTGAAAAATAAGCATTAATTTGATTCAGCGCCAGATTTATGAGAAGACAATGGGCCGGTCTTCCTAGTCGCTTCAAACATCTTGTTATTTTTCTGTGGAAGAAACATACTATTGTACTATCTGGGTTAAGCCTTAAAACAATAGCAACACACTTGCTTGTGCAAAGTCAAATGAATTCATGTATCGAAGTAAATAAATACATAGAACCAAACTTGAATAATTTACTTGAATAAATGAAAAAAAATTGTTTTCGCTATAGCTACTTTCATTATATTGAATTGAACTTTTTCTTAACTATTTTATGCTTAGCTAAATCCTTTCTGAATTGTAATGTTTGATTGGACTTCTTCAGCTTTCTTGAAGTTAACAGAGTCACAAGAAAGATGCACAGAAGTTTTTTAAGGAAAAGTTGATCGGTCTTTCTTTAGGAGACAGGGAGGAATATCTTGAAAAAAAAAAGGCAAGTTTCGATCTCTAAAAGCTCTGTAAACCGTATCAGCTTCCAATTTCAGTTTTTTTGGGAGAGGAATCAGTCACCCTGATTCCGACTCTACAAACGCCTCTGAAAGTAATTATTAGCTAATAGGTAATCTTATCAAGGGGGAAATCACGTACTCCCGTACTCCCGTACTTCCATTGTACTCCCTGGACTCCCATTGTACTCGCTGGACTCCGGGAGTACATGGAAGTACAGGGAGTCCAAGATAGGGGTGGGACTTTAACTTTAACTTTAAAGTTAAAGTAACATACTTTGACACTTTAACTTTAAGAAAATCAAAGTTAAAGTACCTGTGTCACGGGAGTACTTGGGTCCTCATGTGGCTGTCATAGGGGGGATACTTGGATCTTCATTAGAGGTGACACTTTAACTTGAAGCAAATCAAAACTAAAGTGACTTAGGGCGACATCTCGAAGTGATAAAAAGCTGTTGAAATCGCATCGCTTTAATCTTCGAGGCCATAGTGAATAGTGAAATATCCTAAGTTGTTTAGTGCCCTTATTGCTTCAGGAGGGAGTTATGACCGATCTGCTGATTTTTTGGTCTGTAGCGTCGTGTGTATAGGAGTATTAAACGGGTGACTTGGGATCCGAAAGTTTGTCTATATAGAGGTATCATTAACACTAGAATGTCGTGGATGTTTCAGACAAAACAACTGCGTCTTTTTTGGGAAAATGGACTTTCAAAAAACCGACTACTTTTTCGCACTCAACTAAAATTTGTCCTAGAATACAGTCATTTTGTGAAAGTCCATTTTCTCAAAAAAGACGCAATCGTTTTGTCTGAAACTTCCAGGACATTCTGGTGTTCATGATACCTCTATATAGCCAAACTTTCAGATCTCAAGTCACCCATTTAATACTCATATACACACGACGCTACAGACCAAAAATCAGCAGATCGATCATAACTCCCTCCTGAAGCAATAAGGGCACTAAACAACTTAGGATATTTCACTATTCACTATGGCCTCGAAGATTAAAGCGATGCGATTTCAACAGCTTTTTATCACTTCGAGATGTCGCCCTTAGTCACTTTAGTTTTGATTTGCTTCAAATTAAAGTGTTTTTTAAGTTAAAGTACCACCTCTAATGAAGATCCAAGTACTCTTGTGACACAAGTACTTTAACTTTGATTTTCTTAAAGTTAAAGTGTTAAAGTATGTTACTTTAACGTTAAAGTCTCAACCCTATCTTGGACTCCACGCACTCCCTTGTACTCCGAGAGTCGAAGGAATATAGGAGTACAGGGTGCATGATTTTCCCCTTGGATAACCCTCGAAAAGTTACCCAGAGTATCTCTAGAAAGCCTGTAAAAAGCTACTAACACTGTTCCCAGATAAATATCGAATAGCTACTACGATTGCCTCAAGATATCTCTAGAAAAATTACTGGCAGTGTCTTCTGGATAGCTGTGCACAAGTCTTAGGTGTGACTTTGATATCGTCTTCAAGAGTCGGAACTATCTGAATGACCAAACTCGGGATCCCGACACCGAAAATGATCGAACGCAGAATAATCGAGCTCTGAAATCTCGGACTAAGAGCATGCCTATTTAGTAGGTATTTTTTCTTTCCCTCATGTCGTTCGTCTAGACGTCCAACCATAAGAAAGAGGAAAAAAACAATGTGTCATCTCGCCTACCACATACAACTCTAGATGCTCTGTTTATCTACTGAACAATTTAGTATTCGAGGTCATTTAAAAATTAAAACAGGGAAAATGCAGTCTTGCAATGCTCTTTTAAAAGAATACGCGGAATAAATTATTACGTTCGCTGTATTCCCATGTACTCCCCGTACTCTGGGGGTACTCGGAGTGCAGGAAGTACGTGATTTCCACCTTGGAACTTACGGATACCTTCATAGGATAGATCTTGAGGATTTATGGATACCTCATAGGATAGCCTTTCAGGACTTATGAGTACCTTCATAGGATTGTCCTTGAGGACTTATGGGTACCTCATAGGATAAGCGATGATGACTTATGAGTACCCTCATAGGATAGGTCATGAGAACTTATGGGTAGCTCCATAAGATAGGCCTTGAGGACTTATAGTATCCCCATAGGATAGGTCATGAGGACTTATGGGTACCCAATAGGATACATCGAAGTCCCGGAATTTCAATAATTCCCATTGTACTCCCAAGGATCCGGAATCTTGGGAAATCGTCTTTTCTCTTGCGTTCAACTATAAGAAAGACGAGAAAGAGGAATACGACGTCTCGTCCACTACATACTACCCTAGTTGCTTTATCTACCGAACAACTTACTTGAGTATTATTCGAGGTCGTTTACAANGACTATATCTCTTTTTCTTTCTTTCTTACTATACTTCATCACACAATAATATTCATATATAAAAAAAAAAAAAAAAAAAAAAAAAAAAAATCACGTTTGAAACCTTCACAAATTGTAGAATTCGACTCACTTCGTTCAGGTCATGGCTTACAATGGTGGAATCTTTTGACAATTCTTGAAATGAATTCATTATCTTTTGCCGAAGAGAGTGTAGCAATACTGATTATACATTCGATACTACAATATGGTCCGCTAGTATCAGATTCAAGTATATTGTCTGATTCATGGTGTCCAGAATCACATCAACAATTTTTGGAAGATCACTTTGTCGATGAGTTAATCTCAAGATTGAGTCATCATATAGATGATTGTGAAGTGAATTGGTAGAATGAATTAGTATTAGTTGTCATTACGATGATTATGATGAGAATTTTCACCATTTGCAATTCAACAAGAGAAGATAAAGTTGTTAATTTAGCACTAAAATGTCGTAAATTTGGTGAGAAATGGATTGATCACATTTCCAAAAGTATTCAAATTATATCTCCATCAACTTCAGACGAAGTAGAAAAACTTCGTCTTAAAATGGTAACTGTTGGCGTTTCTTGTATCTTAACATTTTCAACCGACCAACAAAAAATTAACCTCTTATTGCCATCAAATGAACATATTGTATCCTTACTAAAAGCAGCAACTACCGTTCACGATAATATAATATTAACCAAGAATCGGAACAATGTGAGTACTTTTATAAGAAATATTATGAGATTTAGTGAACGGGTCTTAGTAATGATACAATCAACGGTTGCCAGATTTCTACAGAAAACACTCTATCAAGGTTTGAATGAATTTACAGTGATTTACTGGGCAGTCACCAAAAGAAAAGGCAACATGAACGAACATTGGACTAAACGAACAGAAAACCCATATGATGGTTGGTACGATTGTCAATATGAGTCGAAAGTTATATCAATTGATTTTATAAAAGGAACTTTTCTGATCGATAATATGACTATAGGCTTTTTACCTGACAAAATTATCTTCCACGATTTATTTGTTCGTGTATTTGGTGACCATGTTTTTGAAGTTCAAGCGGCCGATTCACCTAATGCGTACATTACTAAACATTCGTATCATGGTAATGGGCTTGTTCAATACGAATTTCATTTCAATGATCGACATAGCCACTTGATTATTAGAGAATGGTACATACAGACAAATGATATCCTTCAATTGATTCCTCATAAATTTTTCAAGAATGAGCTACCAAATATGTTTGTTTTCAATCACAGCCATTGGTGGAATGCAAGAAATCAAAGAATCCAGTTTCGTCCCGTTCATTTTACAGATATCAATTTTTTAACTAATAAACCTTACATATTGCCTCTGAAGACAGGATATGTTACTACAACTGAAGAAGTTAATACACAAATTTTGATCAATCAATCATCAGCACTTTTTCAAAGCTTATTTAATCGATATTTTGTTCGTCTTGATAATAAACCCTATATATATATATGATGAGAGATAATATTGGTAAGGCAAATTATATCATTCATATCCATTTATCGCGTTTAGGCATTGCTTTCCAATAGGATCCTAGAACGAGCATAATTATGTCTCGTGAATATCCAGATATGTGCGTTGATGAACATCAATTGTTCGGAACTTTAACAGGTTTAACATCTGGTCTTCTTCTATCCTCGTTAGCTGTCAACAACCATAAAATGGAACGCTATCCGTATCGAAAATTGATAGTACCTTTTGGAGAATTACGTAGTGAAAAGACATTCAACATCGATCATCAAACTGTTATTATACAACGATCATCGTCAGTATCTTTTCTTCATCAATATTTTGTTTTTATTTTAAATGATCGATTAAAAATTTTACAATCGATTGATAGTTCCACTGGTTGGCTTTATTTAGCATTCTTACATACAATGACATCTCATCCTTTACCAGATCAGTATACTGGAATGACTGGAATGGAACGGGCTTTTCAATTATTACATTCAGCTGGTTGTTGGTCAGATCAACCATTTGATTTTCTTTCTCTAAATATATTGAGTCAAATTGCTGACATATCACCAAAAGTAGATTACTATCCAGAACATCTAACTCGTATGGCAAAAATAGATTGGAATAATAATGGTATACCTTATTCCATGCAACATTTCGGATACTATTTGATAGCAAAACAACTAATTGAAACAACCCAACAGTTGGGGTTCATGTATTCATCATCCATTTGTACTAAGATGCCTGAGATATTTGAAAACAAATTGTACAATGAATCATTGTTAAAAATACTTTATTGGAATTATCGAGACTCGTACAATCCTATTGCTAGGCTACCCACAGAGATAGAAGAAAATATCTTGTGCTCATTACACGCAACACCATATCAAACAGCTCCAAATTATTGTTCACATGCAATTAATCACACCATTGTTCGACCTATTGATGATCTGTACAAGAAAGGAAATGTTAACCTTAAAGACTGTTCTCGGCAACATTGGTTACCCTTGTCCCAATGGCTGAATGATGAAAACAATTTGAAAACTACATGGATTGGTTTATTGAAAATGATTCATAATCTCAAGGTAACAACAATTTTAAACAATCGAGACGAAATCGAGCGGTGTGAAAAGTTAATCAATTTTCTGTATTACGTCTCCGGTAAACTTAAAACCAAACCATTTTATTTTCAAATGCTTAAAAAAGCATTGAAAATGCCTGCTGCATTAATGACTATTGTCACATGTCCTCCATTCATCGAATATTCCGATATTGAAGAAATTTCAGTTATAAGAAAGCGAATCAATCTACCGAGTGATTATACTTCAGATATACGAAATCGAATAATAGCAGAAATCGAACATTCTTGGCAGAATAATTGTTATTATGAAGACAAAAGTAAACTGACAACTTCTAGTGAAAGGCTTCAGGTTAATAAGTTATTAACGTCTTGGGGAAATAATAGAAAACTTCGTTCTTTCCTAGAGTCTATTCAAAATCTTCTTTGTTCGGCTCCAATAGAACAGTTCTGTACTAATATATTATACAATCCTCAGAAGTTCGCAGGTGAATCAGTTGAAGAACACTATCAACTACAAGTCAAATGGACAAACAAATTAATCGATAAAAAGCTGTTAGAAAGTGCTTTTAGAAAATTTTACTTTCCTAATACAGGTCATTTCAATAAGTCTAAAATCTCTTCTCAAACTGCTAATAAAAGAGTTACGTTTCCAAATCATATTTTCCCTTCTGTCAATCATAAAGAGACTACTTTGAGTGAAATTGGCAATTATTTTGAAAATCAGTTAAATAAAAGTTGGAAAAAGTTTTTATTGGATGAACCATCTCGAAAAGAAGATCCTTCGATCGAAGAAATTAAAGAACGTCTTAACTGCTTGCAGAAAGAATCCACACAAAGCTGGAATGCATTGATAGAATCTATTACAGCATCTAATGAACAATTATTCGAAATAGGTTTGCTCTCACGAATCACTCCGACAAACCTCATCACTCTGTTACAACAAAATATAGAAAAATGTCCTTTGAATAATGATCAAATTACATTACTAGGCGGTACTCTAGTCTGTTGGACACTAGAGCTACAGTTAGAAAGAGCGTTGCACTATGCGATTCATGATAAATTGGCAGATTTTGTAAAAGAAATATCAAATATACCACATTCAAATTGGAAACCATTTGAACATGTTTTTTGGCTAATCTTAGAACTGGAAATGAACATAACCATTCGAGAAATTCAAATAGATGTGGCACGTCATATGATGCAAACAGGTATGGCAACAAATCAGACTACAGTAAAAAATCTGGTAATGCAAATGAATATGGGAGAAGGCAAAACGTCTGTCATTTTACCAATGTTAGCTGCTAGTTTAGCTTTATCTGATTCCAGTTTAGTTCGTATAGTAGTTCTTAAATCTTTATTCCCAACAAATTATCAATCATTACGATGTAGATTCCCTAGGGAAAATCTTTGATGTTTCAGCCCCGGATCCTTGGAAGATAGGATCAAGATCCTGCAAGGATTCGATGTTTTTTCCTGAGGAAACCACTAAATCCTGAAAGAAGCGTGTAGCCACGGAATTGCAGGATCCTGTCAAGATTTAAAACAAGTTTATCAAGGATCCTGGCAAGTTAATCACTGTTTTTGAACCAGGATTAAGCCAGGAAATCGATGATTCCTGAAAGAAGCATGTAGCCACGGAATCGTAGGATTCTGTCAGGATTTAAAACAAGATTATCAAGGATCCTGACAAGTTTACCATTGTTTTTTAAATCAAGATTCAGCTAGGAAATCGAAGATTCCTGAAAGAAGCGTGTAGCCACGGAATTGCAGGATCCTGTCAAGATTTCANCTACTAATTTATGAGGAAATTGTTTTGCTTCTCGAGGAAATACAAAATTATTTAAAAAATCCTAAACAGGATCTTGTTTCACCTCGACAAATCCTGGAAACAGGAATTTCTAGGATTCGAGACAGGATCCTGAATAAAACTTAGCAGGATCCTTGAGATTCAGGATCCTGACAGATCCTTTCAGGGTTTCTCAAGGAATGAACAGGATTGAGACTAGGGTTAGGTGGTTTATTGAATAAACGCATATTTCCCTTCTTATGTCGTCGTGATATGAATTTCAATGGCAAACAAATTAATCATATTTATAATCGTCTCAAACAAGATTTACATAATTGTGATGTTATTTTAACTTCACCAGAGAATATATTATCCTTCGATTTGCTTACTATAGGCAAGTGCCATCGAAATGAATTTGATGTCGGTCATTGTATGTTGACAGTTCAGCGATGGTTAAAGTCATTTGCTCGTGATGTATTAGATGAATCTGATGAAATTCTGCATCCCAAATATCAACTGATTTATACTGTAGGTAATCAACAAAACGTTGATGGAGGTGCAGAATGTTGGAATACCATTCAGACAATACCTCATTTAGTCAAAAAACATGCTGTATCTATTTCAAAACATTTCAGTGAAGAAGTTTGCTATAAATCTCCTGCACAATAAAGTGCTTTTCCAGAATTTCGTTTGCAATCACATCAACCATTTTTACTATTATGTGAAATTGTAGCCAATGATTGGCTTGATCAAAGATCTTATCGATATGAAGATAAAAAATTATATTATCATTCATTTTAGCAACAAACTCATCTATTGAACAAGTAAATAATAAGTTTTCACAACATGATATTCAACAATTTCTTATTGTTCGTGGTTTGCTATCATCAGAAGTTTTATTAGTTGCTTTGAAAAAACGGTATCGAGTTAATTATGGTGTCACACAGAACTCCTCATTTCATCGTTTAATGGCTGTACCATTTCAAGCAAAAGATGTTGCTGCTGACAGAACTGAATTTGGCCACCCTGACGTTGCATTAGTATTAACACAACTTTCATATTGTTACTCTGGTTTAAGTGATTCACAGTTGATTCAATGCTTCGATCGTTTGACTGAAAAAGAAACTGATCCTAGATCTATCTATGAACAATGAATCTTAGCCGAAGAGCAAGGTAGTGTACCGACAAGTATCAGACTATGGAAAGGAGTTAATTTAAAAGATTATCAGCAATGAACTCGTGATCTATTTCCGACTCTACGGTATAATATGATAGTTATCAATTATTTTTTAAATAATTTTGTATTTCCTCGAGAAGCAAAACAATTTCCTCATAAATTAGTAGCATCTGCTTGGGATTTAGCGTCATCTTTACGATCAAAGATAGTAACTGGATTTAGTGGTACTAATGACACACAATTATTACTTCCAGTTCACATTCAAGAATGCGATTTGCCTGAACTTCAAAAAACTGATGCCATGTTATTAACAATTTACTACAATCGGAAAATGAAGCTCACCAATATTTACCATTTAAGTCTACCTCAGAAGATATTTTAAATCAAATAATAAATTACAAAATAACTATTAATGTTATTTTAGATATCGGTGCACTATTCATAGATGGAAGTAACCGAGATATAGCTGTTAAATGGTTAAATCTATCCAATAAAAACAAGATTGATTATGCTGTTTATTTTGATTTAGATTCTATTGTTTTTTGTGATCGCCAACTTCATCATTATCGATTTGAAACATCACCTACAGGTGAACGACTGGATCGTTGTGTATTTTATTTAGATGAAATTTATACGAGAGGAACTGATTTTAAATTTCCGAATGGCTTCCAAGCTGCAGTTACTTTAGGAAATGGTTTAACAAAAAAGTTCGTTTTGTTCAAGCTTGTATGAGAATGAGAAAAATAGGAAAAGGACATTCTTTAACATTTTGGAGTTCAAATGAAGTTCATCAACAAATAATAACATTGAAAAAACGTTCACCTATTGGACATAAAAAAAATCGATTCGTGTTTCTGTCAATCTTATCGATATTCTTCGTTGGGTTTATGAGAATACAAAACAATCAACTTGGGATGGACTACATCATTGGGCTGCACAAAGTATAAGTTTCCAACGAAAAGTTCGTGCATTTCAAGAAATTCAATGGGAAAATCAACAGCAATCGATTACCAGTACAATGATGAAAAAATTGATTAACGAATGTTTGGAACCAGAAATAATTGAATTGAAACATATGCATGGTACAGCTAAAGTATTAGAGATAATTGAAAAAATTTATATTGCCCGATGCCAACAGTGTAATCATCATTCATCAACAATCATTCACAATATTGTACTAAGACGATTGCACGAATATTGCGGAACAAAACAACGTCTATCTCAATTGTTAATGAAGAACAACAGCGAGAACTAGAATATGAATTTGTCATTATTTTATTCTCTTCTTTTATTTTAAATTTAATTTTAAATTTAAAGTTTAAATTTAATTCAATTCAATTTAGTTTGATTTAATATTGAAAAAATTTNATATCTGTGAGTCACACAGCTTGCTCACTATTCTACTAGTGACATTCAGTTCAAGTTGAACGAAAATGGAAAAGGAGAAAAAAGGTATAACATGGAATATAATCTGATTGGTTAAAGAACAGAAGGATAAGTTACATTCATTATTGTATGTAGCGTGTATATGTAGCTTATCTTAACCCAATAAATGATATAGATAATCCATTGTTCTATTTATTTCCTTCAGATTGATATCGAAATCGGAAATATTCTTTTCCTTAGAATGTTCTCGAACATTTTAAAAATTTGTAATTGAGAATAAATTAATCTCATTTGAAAATATCTTGTCAATTCCATTTTCATTAAATATCCAAAATAAATTTTTCAATCGAAGAAATGAATTCTTTTTTTATCTGTAAGTATTTTAAAAAAATCATTTCTGATAAATAAATTGATTCTTTCTTGTTGTTGTTTTCTTCTAATCATTCAAATAATTAAATAAGATTTATTAAAATTTTATTTATTATAAATGATAGAGATAATCGATTAATATATTTCATTCAGAGATTTTTATGAAATTTCACATCAATCTATAGATTTCTCATATAATTATTTCATTGAGAATGTGTTCAAATTAATTATATCTTTTATAAATGAAATATATTTAAACAAAAACTATTTCATTTATTTATTAAAAAAGAAAGATAAACATTATTTTAGTCAGAACTTTATTGACATCATACAGATTTACATAAGAAAAAATCGACAGATATTGTGATCTTTCATCTTTCTATTAAGAAAAATTCTTTTTCTTATTTCATTGATCAGATCTCAATTGAAAGAGATGTTTTTTGTCGAAAAATAATCACAGTTTTATTTCTCGAATGTTTATCAATGAGCAATCAGAGAGGAAAGGTAATCAATCATATGCTCATTGTGAGCATTTTATTTTCATGAAAAATATTCAAATAATATGTGATGATAAATAGTTTTCTTTATAATTTGATTAATCGGATACCTTTCGATGTATATTGATGACAGATTAAAATACATTATTTTCAACTATAATTCTACTGTCTGATGATGGATTGAAAATAACTCAACTCGTCTTGATAATAAGTAGAGGAAACATTAGTCTATCTTTCCAATTTCTACCATTTGTTTCATTTAATCATATTAATTAGAAAGAAAACAAGACAGGACATCATTATTTCTGAGTATAGGTGAAATATATTCTAATTGTATTCTATTGATGCTCGAATGAAACTGTTCTCTTATATTCTCGAATCTTTGAGTTTTGCCTTTTTCATTTGTGTCAATCATTAATGCTTAGTTTTTTTAATGACATTTTCTTTTTGGATAATATAAATTTTCGTTAGATTTATAATGGTAATTGTTCATTTTATATTCTGTCTTTATCCTCATCGTCAACATTGTACAATATGATGATTTTATTGATTCAACACATTATCTTTGATTTTCATCCAGTTTATGATGAGAATCTTACTAAATGAATGAATTTCTAAGAAAAATACGTCTCATTCCAGGAAATAGAATCTTTTAGAATTATCTCGGATCAACAGACTCTTGGAATCATAGAATTAGTTGTTTTCTTTTTGTGAATTCCTTTTAATAAAAATATTTAATATTATGACAATAGTTCTTTCTATTGTATTGATTTTGTTATATGCTGATGAATTCATATTTTCAATGATTTATTTTAGGTTTATAATCGTATCATCGTAATTTATTCTACCTTATATAAACTTGTGTCTAACAATATAAAAAAATGCCATCGTGTTTTCGTATCTATGGTGCCAGTCGAATACGTATTCGCATCCATGCTTATGTATTATTGTTTTTCATTTGTGTACAATATCGTTATACATTTACTCTTGGTGAAATTCAGAAATCAGTTTTTATGTTTCGAGAGCCAAATGTTACAAATGTTAAATTGAATATGTATAACAAAATTCCATATGAAGATTGTCGATGTAATGTTGTACCTGTCGAATCTTGTCTTACTGATGAAGAACTTAAATACAGTCGTATCATTCCATTGATATTATTTCTATTACAAATTTACCTTCTTAAAGATATTCTTTCGTTACATCAAGATCGAAGATATTCTCTTTTAAATTTGTATTGGATTGTTTCGATGTTTGTTTTCTTTTGTTTTTTGATAATTATTTATCGAAGTAGTTATTATTATAGTACAATTACTCGAATGCTTGTTTGTACGGGTCAATTTTTATTTTTGTATAGTTCTATATCACAGGTTATTTCGTAATCAATCGTCTTATAGTTATATTACAATCAGAGATTCGAAGGAATCGATAATAATAATGAAATTTGAATAGAAATCTTTTCAGCTAATCTAGATTATTCTGTCAAAAATGGGTCAATGTAATATACTCATTTATTTGTATCTGTTAATTAATGTATATTTATATATATTATGTTTTTTTTAATGTTAATAAATTGAATGTACTCTCGTTATATCTTCTTCATTTTCTATTGTTGTAATCATAAGAAAATGACACTTCGTTCTTAAATCAATTATTTATTATAGTGTAGCCAAAATTTGAAAGAGCTATCCATAAGTTAGAAAAGATTATTTAAACATTTTTATTCATTCTTATCGATTCTCAAACATTAAAATGGTTTCGAAGAAGTTTTTCTTTTTTGGTTCTCACTGTCATTAGATTAACTGTATTGAATACATATAAGACATAGAATTAAGAATTGAGAAGTTTTTCTTTTCTAAAAACTAGAGTACGATTTGCATTATCATCATAGATTCAATATTTCTTATTTTATGTATGACTATCGATAAGCCATGACTATGCTAATAATACATAGAACATCGTATTAGATAGAAGAACAAGACAGAGAGAGAAAAGGAAAGAGAAAGAGAAAGAGAATACAATCAGAAATAGAACAAGAGTTCTTCCATTACGAAGGTTACATTGAACAAGAGTGGTATTGCATAAGAACGACAAGTTACAAGGTTGACATCTTACAATGATGATGTCGTATAAGGATAATATCATATAAGGATACCAGGCTATCATTTAGAGATAGAAATACACAAGAATACAAGAATTTAACATTTGTGTGCCCATTGCCACGGACAAGGATTTGGAAAAACGCGTTTAAACGCTGCAGTCAGGAACCGCGAAAAAATGCTGATTTTCGCGTTTTTTGCGTGTAATTTTCACTTTTAGCATGTGAAAGCGACGAAAAACTTAAATTTTTAGCGTTAAAGCGTGCTTTTATTTCTGAAAGGAGGAGGGTCGATAAGCGATGAAATCTGCCCCCTTGAGAAATTCGACTTTATCCAAGCGAAACTACCATATTAGATGCCCGAAAGCGTTCTGTGATATAACTAGACGGTATTCGAGCTTCACTCGACTACGAAATGCGGTGCGAAGCACACGGATTTTCGATTTTCGAAACAACGTTATTTCGCATACTCAACGAATAATCGTTCTTCGGACATGTCTTAAGTTGTTTCTATCCTAACTATGTTTAATTTTTTATGGAATCTCATATGCTATCGTCTCTTTCAAATCCAAAAAGTAATATTTCTATCAATTAGCTAATAGAAGTCAGCACCAAGCGTAAAAGGGTGTGGGTGTGGGTGCGGTGTGTGAAAGAATAACACCCACACCCACATCCACACCCACACCCCACACCCACATCCACACCCACACCCCACACCCACACCCACACCCATGCCCACTCCCACACTCCACACTTACACCCAGACACCTACACCTACACCCTTATTTTTCATACCAAAAATATTTATAAAAAGGGTGCTTATTTTTTTCTGAATTTTTCAACTCATACAAAAATAGATCATTTCATTTACATTTCTTTAACATGACAAAAAAATTAAAAACAATTTTAAAATTTAATAAATTTAAAAAATATACAAAACTAAAATTAATTAAGATAGTATATACAAAAAACAAATTTTATTCATTTATTTCTCCAAAAATTTATTTATTTATTACTTGTTTGGTACTTGCTCTTTTTTCTTTAAAACATTGCTAATTCGCCTTTTACATCTAAATTCAAATCCACACCCACACCCTGTTGTTTTATTCTTCGATTAACAAAAATAAGAATAAGCTACATATTTGTGGAACATTCGGTAACATATGCAGTCTCAGCTTTGAGTCTCAAGTAGGGTCCATTGTAGAAAAGCAACAGAAGCGCGCTACTAACCGACATACAGAATATGAATATAGAAGCGGGTGTGAATACAATGCCTGATTTATCGACCGGAGCTTTTTTTATAAGATCGTCGAGAATGAAAATGAAAACGCCGCCAAGCACATTACCGACACACAAAAGTAGTCCGATGGACCATGCAGCAC